CGGGCTCCTGGTGCCTCACCTCGCTCGTCCTCCTCTCCGCGACCCGCTGGGCAGGTAAGCGGGGCCGCGGGCGGCGCCGGGCGGGAGGGCTCGCCTGTAACCTTGAACCTGTGCCTGCCGCCGGCAGCCGCCCCCGATGCAAATCTCTCCCAGCCACGCGTGCACCAAACGCTCCCCTGCACTGACCTATAATTACTGCAGCATACAGCAGGGGCTGGGGATGGCTGACGGTGGCAGAAAGCGGGGCACCAGCCCCCCCAGCCTGGTGCCCGTCTTTGCTTTCCTCCCCCCCGGTGAGAAGCAGCAAAGGGCATACGGGGCGCGGGCAGCAAGGACGCAGCCTGAGGTGTCGCAAGTGAAAACAGCGGTTGTGCCCCTCCGCTGCCGGGCACCCTGGGGCTCACCCCCTGCTTTCCTGGCCCCTCCTGCTCCTTGCCTAACCTCTCCCCTTGGTGCGGAGGAGCGTGCATCTCCCCAGCTTTGCATGGTTCACGTCACATTGTGCAGGGTGCCTCGCTTGGCATCAGTTGTTCGGGTTTTTGGGGGGGGGCAACTAATACCCAGCCCACAGCTTGCTGCCCCAGCCAAGCCGTACCCTCTCATTGAGGCCCTCGTGCTACCTGCCTGGTACCCGGGCACCTCCCAGATGCCTGGCTCACACTCCTGCCTAAGGACTGTGAATGGCACACAGATCCGGAGCAGACACCACCTCTCCTCTTCCTGTCTGAGTTCCCTTTTTCTGCTCTGCTCCATCCCTGGGTGTCAGTAACTGTCCCTCCCTTATCAGGAACTGAGCTGTGTGACCGTAGTGGGCAGCAGCACTTCGCTTGCAGCTGGGAAGGTGGCAGTAATTTTGCTCTCCTGTAGGGATTAAGCAACCCTGCTCCTCCTGCTCAAGGTCACCGGCATGCATGCAGGGCTCCCACTCCCCACCCCAGTTCGGGGTCAGCTGGGACTAGTGTCAGAGCAGCGTGGCACGTCTGGGGGGCACCTTGCGGGGGAACACAGCCCCATTTCACCCCCTCGAGTTTGCACCGGTGCCCTCCAACAGCATCTGAGTCCAGCCTGCCAGGGTCCATCCCATCTGCCTCTCCCCCTCTCTCATCCCCAGGCCCAGCTCCGGGGCAGATGTTCCACATCAGGTCTTGCTGCCCAGACTGGGGAGGAGAAGGCATGTGCAAAAGCCAGGCCTGCTTGTTACGGCTGATCACAAATCACCAATGCTTTATTTTCAGTGGAAAATGGAGCATGGCCAAATGAGAGCTCGAGCTGAAGCAGGTGCTTCTAGCACAGCGTCTCAGTTTTCTTTTTTTAGCCGGAAAAAAACCCAAACTCCCCACACTTAAAAGTGCTTCAGGTCCTGGTGGCTGAAACCTTAAATGTTCAGCTTGAAGTTTCTACCTCCCCACCCCTCCCCACTGCAAATGGCGTTTAAAAAAAAAAAGTAGTAGTCTTTTTAGCAACATTTTTGCAGAATAAAACCCCATTCTCTAGCCAGCTGTAACCCTGATCCCTGGGATGGGAAATGCAGGGAATCATCAAGTCTCTCAATTACCAGTCATTTGAATCCTAGAAAGTGCTGAATTCTCAGATGCGGACGCATACGGCTGGCTCGGGGCTGGCGTCGGGTTTAATACGCAGGCCAGCTCTTCTCTGCTCCTTGCTCCGTTTACTGCGGCAGGGCTGGAAGGCGCGCACAGCTCTCCCGTGCAGGTGAGATGGCTGCAACCACATCGCGCCAGAAGAGGAGCAGGGAAAATAATACAGAGAAGTTTTCCTACTGCACCAGAGAAGGGCAAACGGCCCATCCTGGGTACAGCCGGACTAGGTGCCCCCTCCCCACCGAGTGTGCCGGACTGGCAGGGATCGCTCCCAGGCCCTTCCATGCAGATCTCCCCAGCGAAGGAGCTTGGTGTCAGCGTGCCCGGGCCAGGCTACAAGCAGCAGGTCTGCTGGTGGCCCGGGAGGAGGGGACGATATCTGGGGGAACCGCGTGTGCTTTCTGCTGGTGTTGCATCCATGACCTACCCCCTCGCTGTAACCCACCAGCGCCTTCTGAGAAGCCGGGCAATTTCGGCACAACTTTCCAGGGCTTTTTTAATAGCAAGCACCTGCTAACATTCCTCCCCAGCCATTCCCATTTGGGGAAGCAGCGAGCATAGCCCCCCGCGAGTTATTTCTGCATTGCCCCTGTGCCAGCCCCAAGCCTCATTCCAGTGACAGCGGGGCCGCCGTCCAAGTGCTCGAGCCAGCTGCACGTTTCCTTCACCGCGCGCAGGCCTCTTAGCAACCCCGACCCTCCTCCTGCCCCTGTTACTTTAAATTGCTTTTGAAGAAAAGCTATTTTCGTTGGGAGGTAACGAGGCACTCCGCAGCCCCCAACAATTAGCACGTAACCCCTTCCCAGCCGCTCGGCCGCTTGGAAAGGTGGAACTGGGAAAAGCAAGTCGCTAACAACACAAAACTTTGTGCAGCACAAATAATCACGCAGGCTCATCTGCCAGGCTGGAAAAGCAGCGAGGAGGGTAATGCTGGGCCCTGGCCTGGGATCCTGGATGTATCGCTGTCTGTGCCTGTGCCTCTTTCCTGGGCTAGGAGCACTGTAACTCCCTCCAGCCACTTCCCTGCCAGTACATATTCTCCACTCCATAAACTCAACGCCCGTGCTGCAAAGGTTTCCACATGAGGATATTGCATTACAGGATCTGCAGTGCTCTTAAACGCTTTGCTAACCCAGAAACCCCAGACAAAAGCAGCTGCAGCAAAAAGGCACGACGGGCCTGGGGTCCTGCACCCCTCGGGTTCGCTAGTAGGGAAGGGTGCTTAGCGCCCGGCAGGTTTGGGCTGTCCAAGGGGGACACGATCCAAGTCAGCTGCCTTCTAAGAAACCAGATTTCACCAAACTAAATCAAATTGGGGCCTGGTTTGGGAAGCGAGCTCTTTCTGAACTAGCGCTTGCTTTGGAGAAGTGGTTTGCTGCAGTCTGTGGGAGTGGGGAGGACACATGGCCTCTCGCACAAGCTGGGCGCAGGATAAATAATGCTCACAGCCGCTCTTGCCACATGGCTGGCGGGTCATGTGGCCTGGGCATGATTTGGGCTCTGCGTTGCCCGGACCATCACAAGGCTTTTACCAGGAGTGTGGCTGTGGACTGCCCAGTGGGGCTGTCCCTCTTGCCTGGTTTCAAACCCATTGACACACCAAGGGGTCCCAACCTTTAGCGCTAGAGTCTGAGCTGTACGTGGGGGATGCCGGGTGTGCGTGGGTGGACCAGCGACGGGGAAACCCTCTAGACACCATGGGGGGACTTGCATTTCTGGGCAAGGACCCAGCTGGTCTCGTCTTTGCATCAGTCTCGTTCCACATGGCTAAGTTTTTTGCTCAACTTCCTCTTCTCTTCTTTTCATCGTGAGGGGGAAGGGCTTTGCCCAGCCGACAGGTCAGAGCATAAAACAGTGTCTGCCCCAGCGGACCAAGTGCATCCCTGGCACAGCTCCGCCGATCACTGCCGAATGGCACCGGTGACGGATGTAGGCCGTGATGTCCAGAGGCCTGCAGAGAAGTAGGCCAGACCTACGTGGTGGCTCCAGGGACGATTGCATGCGCCAAGCTGAGCGACGTAAATAGCTCTCATTAAGGCTCCGCATTGCTGACACCACGGCAGACGCTGGTGTTTCTGCCTGAG